GAGGCTTTTCCCACAGACAGAATTGAAGCGTCCTAGACCCAGAGCTCGTCCTGATGCTAAGGGTGAACCACAGAATCCCTGTAGATGTTCCTGAGTGTTCAGTGAACTTCGTCTGATCCGCTAACAATATGAGCATCACGGCAAACATACTGTCACTGACATCAATGTACCGTTTAATAACTTTAGCCCATTTAAATGTTGTCTAAATGGTTCGTTTCCCCAATTAACGTTTAGCATTTAATCATCCATTAACACTGAAGTGATTTCAGGCCTGTGATTAATGTATTCAGACTTGTGAAGTTTAAAGCGGTGGAGATGCCTGTTGGAGATCTGGCTTATCTAGAATCTCTGAAGCTCTTTAGGCTCAAAGATAAACGGTTTTCTTCTTTGTTTCTGTCCTTCATCTCTGATTCATTCTGTCTTTAGTTCCACTTTTGTGCTGCTTGTTCTTGTGCACTGTTTGCGTTCTCTCTCAGTCCTCGCCGACTTCTCTACCACTGTGGTAGTGCATTGCTGTGACAATTTGATTGCATTCTGCCTCAAGAGCAGGGGTCTCACCTGGCCTGGTGAGCCCCAAATATATTTTAACCTGCACTCCAAAAAAAATGGTGTCTTATCAAGTGAAATTATCTTAAATCTAGTCGACATGTCCAATATTTCTCCTGTTGAGATTATTGTAAGATTAATTTAAGATTATATATAAGTTTTAAGTAATTTTGTTAAGTAAAATGATCTCATATGGAGGCCTGCTGGTGACATACTACATAATTAATAATAATGCATGGCCATGACTTTGTAAAGCATGGGAATAAGATAATTAAGTAAATAAAGTGGCCACAACTTAGTAAGGCATGGTAATGTTTCTGAAGTTGCCTGTGTTTTCTATATTTGCAGTGTGTTTGTGAAATGCAGTTCAGGTGTTGTCATGTTGATGAAAGTGTTTTCTGTGTTTGCAACATGTTTTTAATTGTACTATGAATAGGGTTTTGTCAGCTACCGTAATATTGCATATTGTAATTTGCTAAATGAGCATTGGAGGCTGTTCTCTTTCATTAACGTGGCTAGATGCTCCTTTAATTCGGACAGCTGTCATGCTGGTAAGAGTGTGTTGTGATTAGGGAGGTGTAGGGAGATCCTATTAGGCCACTCTGACCTGTGGATATTAAATTAGACGTCTAATTTTCAGAAGCTCATCCGCCTCTCAGGGTGGGAATGGTACCTTTTAGAACAGGTGACAGTGTTAATGTTGATCAGATCTGCCCTGCTGATTGATTTTGGGGAGCCAAATTGAAAGTGTTGATGTTGTAATCAATCCTTTAACATAATCCTGCAATAATGCTGTTTAATTATTTAGGCTCTGAATAAACTGTGGGTTCCATATAGCAGCGTTTTTCAGTCTGGTCTTTGGGGACCCCCAGTTGTTCCATAGCTTGGCCCTCCCCAGTTCCACCTGAACCAAATAAGTCTGTCTTGATCTGTCTGTCTGTATTTTAAGCCACAGATTTTATGATTCTCTAATATTTTTACCCTATTTTTACATTAAACTTTGCCACATTGTTCACTACAAAAATAGTATCTCGTCAAGGAAAATTATCTTAAATATAGTCAATAAATCTAATATTTCTCCTGTTGAGATTGTTGTGAGCTTAATTTAAGATTATTTTCTTTATTTCTAGACATTTTGACTTGTTTTAAATAATTTAATTAAGTAAAATTATCTCACTATATTCATAAGATAATTTTGCTTGTTAGAAATGAGCTCGAAACCAGCAAAATGATCAGCCTGTATAGTGAGACCATTTAATGAAATTACTTGAAACCAGTGAAAAGTGTTTAGAAATAAGCTAGAAAATCTTATAATAAGTGTACAACCATCTCAAAATGGGAAATATTAGATATATAATATATTATATCTTATATTAAAATGGGAAATAATATGTATTGACTAGATTTAAGATCATTTCACTTGACAAGATACCGGTTTTTGCAGTGTAAGCTTACTGACCCACTTTTAATAGGTCAATTTCACAAATTCACAGTGCAAAAAAGGTCTTAGCAGTGAAAGTATCTTAAATGTAGTCAATATATCTAATATTTCTCTTTATGAGTTAAAATTATTCCACCAGCTTCTAGACATTTAACTTGTTTTAAGTTATTTTATCTAGTGTAGTCTTATTGCATTGCTATTTTACTTATTTTGAGAAATAATGAAGATACTTTTAGTTAGTTTCAAGAAATGATGCTTAAAATGATTAAAATTACTAGTTAAAATTACTTTAAACAAGCAGAGATGTCTCGAAATAGGTTAAACAGTACTATACTATTCTCACAGCAGTCTCATAATGGGAAATATTAGTAATATTATCTGCGTTTAAGGTGTTTTCACTTGCTAAGATCATTTTTTGCTGTGTAAGTCTGACCTCATATACACGAGGAGTCACCTTTATCTCTGTATGCATTATGCAGTGAAAAGAAATGTGATTTTAGCTCTTGACCTCTTGTTTTCTTTCTTATTTCATTCTTTATGCCCTTAATATACTTTATTCATCCCTGCCTGGGAAGTAAAGTTTATGAAAGTTTGCGTCATGGTACACCGAGCTGGCGAAATGAGCTCACCTGCACTCTTATTAAAAGAGGGAAGAAGTTTTATTTGTTTATTCACTGCTTTATTCAGTTTGGAAGTCAGTAAAAAACCCAGAGTTGAGTCTGAGGCTTAAGAGCGTACAGAGAGGGGCCAACTAAGGCCTTATCTGTATTTTCTCCATTAGTCTGTCAAATGCTTCGTTTTCAATTTCACAACTCACTCAAGGGAGCAGTTTAAATGAAAAGCGTTTTTCAATGTCAGACTCGCGCTTGACATCATCACTCCTGAATCTGGCTCAGGCAGGTGTGAACAGCCCGGCAGGAGATGCACTGTTGTTTTACACCGATCAGCCATAACATTATGACCACCTGATTGTCTCTACACTCATTGTCCATTTTATCAGCTCCACTTACTATATAGGTGCACTTTGTAGTTCTACAGTTACAGACTGTAGTCCATCTGTTTCTCTGATACTTTGTTACCCTGTTCTTCAGTGGTCAGGACCCCCATGGACCCTCACAGAGCAGGTACTATTTGGGTGGTGGATCATTCTCAGCACTGCAGTAACACTGATGTGGTGGTGGTGTGTTAGTGTGTGTTGTGCTGGTCTGAGTGGATCAGACACAGCAGTGCTGCTGGAGTTTTTAAACACCTCAGTGTCACTGCTGGACTGAGAATAGTCCACCAACCAAAAATATCCAGCACAACAGTGTCCTGTGGGCAGCGTCCTGTGACCACTGATGAAGGACTAGAGGATGACCAACACAAACTGTGCAGCAGCAGATGAGCTATCGTCTCTGACTTTACATCTACAAGGTGGACTGACAAGGTAGGAGTGTCTAATAGAGTGGACAGTGAATGGACACAGTGTTTAAAAACTCCAGCAGCACTGCTGTGTCTGATCCACTTGTACCAGCACAACACACACTAACACACCACCACCACATCAGTGTTACTGCAGTGCTGAGAATGATCCACCACCCAAATAGTACCTGCTCTGTGAGGGTCCATGGGGGTCCTGACCACTGAAGAACAGGGTAAAAGGGGGCTAACAAAGTATCAGAGAAACAGATGGACTACAGTCTGTAACTGTAGAACTACAAAGTGCACCTATATAGTAAGTGGAGCTGATAAAATGGACAATGAGCGTAGAAACAAGGAGGTGGTCAGAATGTTATGTCTGATTGGTGTGTGTAGACGGGGTAAACGGTGGAGCCGGTGTTCAGAGCTGTCTGGAGTTACGGACGTCTGCCGTGCCAGGCATGAGAAATCTGTCCTCTATTAGAATAGTAATGCTCACCCCGGAGCCCCTGAGTGGCAGGCCTGGCCACTCCCCTTAGAGAAATCAATCCATCACACAAATGTCCCCAACTCCATTATCCAGACTTTTCGGTGGCAGGTGCGTCCGCCCTCCAACTCGCCCAGCCTGACTGTTTCTGAGTCCCATTGTACGGCTGTAATCACCTTGACCATCTGTGACATGATCAAACTGTTCCTTCACTCTCGTTCTAGTTCATCTGTGAGCTGGGAGGGTCACTTTAACAAAGGATCATAGTACAGATTACTGATTACCTGCTATGTGTAACCTAATCTGAAGGATTACTATATTAAAATAATGTAAGCCGATTACTTATTGTTACATTTGGATTACTTTTTTTAGACAGAATGTAATAAAGACAAGAGGAAAACCATTTAAACACTGCAAAAATTGATCTCAGTAAGGGAAAATATCTTAAATGTAGCCCTGTAGAATATTTAACTTATTTCTAGACATTTTAACTTATTTTAAGTAATTTGATCTTATGAAGGTGTCTTATTCCACTTTTTAGACAGACAGACAGAGACAGACAGATAGACAGATAGATAGATAGATACAGACAGACAGACAGACTCACAGACAGATAGACAGATAAACAGACAGACAGACAGATGAATAGATAGACAGACAGACAGACAGACAGATAGATAGATAGATAGATAGATGGATAGATAGATAGATAGATAGGCAGACAGACAGACAGACAAACAGACAGACTCACAGACAGATAGACAGATAAACAGACAGACAGACAGATGAATAGATAGACAGATAGATAGATAGATAGATAGATAGACAGACAGATAGACAGATAGATAGATAGACAGATAGACAGATAGATAGATAGACAGATAGATAGATAGATAGACAGATAGATGGACAGACAGACAGATGATCAGTTTAAGTGTACAGTAGCCATGTTTACATGCATCCTAATAATCCGTTAATAATCGACTAACAGCTCAGTCAGAACTGTCGTTGCTCACGTCACGTATTTGCTGTTTAAAGTTTCAGCACCACCGGCTTAAAACACCTTCTCACTTCCCTGCTGGGACGCCCCAGATTTACCAGCCCTCTCTCTCTCTCTCTCGTCCACAGATCCCTCAGATCAGCTATGCATCCACGGCTCCGGAGCTGAGCGACAACACCCGCTACGACTTCTTCTCACGCGTGGTGCCTCCGGACTCCTACCAGGCCCAGGCCATGCTGGACATAGTCACGGCCATGGGCTGGAACTACGTATCCACGCTGGCGTCCGAGGGCAACTACGGCGAAAGTGGAGTGGAGGCCTTCATTCAGATATCCAGAGAGATCGGTGAGTGGTGCATGGCTCATGTGTTGTGCTTCTGTGGAAGACCATTTAGCCTTTCAGTGCTCTTCAGCCTTTTAATGCTCTTCAGCCTTTAAAGGAGCAAAATGTACCTGTTGAGTTCATCCCCCACACAGTCGCTCCTCCCTCTTCACTCCGCCCCCTGTTTACTTACCAGTCTAGAAGAAATGTTGCGAGTTTAGCATTAAGCTTCGTCCCTTTCCTGGCTGAGAGCTCCAGAACTCCAGCTCTTGTTTTGGTTCTATTATCTCTCTCTGCTGCTGACCGTGGTTTCTTGCCGGAGCGGTGCAGGAGGTGGTGATTATGGTCGCCCTCCTAGAGCTTCAGCCATCATTGTGTTTACTGTTCCTTTCATCGGCTTCCTGTCCTTAAATGGTCCAGTTGGGGGCGGGGCCTTCAGCTTGATTGACAAGAGATTAGAATACACCCTCAGGGCGGAGCTACTTCTTCATCCTATCATGTTGAACTGACTGCAAACTCAACGCTACAGTGACTCACTATCGCCTCTTGACAGGTACAGAGTGGTTTTACAGGACAGGACAGGCTGGGGCTAGCTGGTATGAAGGTGGTACGAAGTTGTCTTTGACACAACGTCACAACGTCAAAACTCTTATTTCTTCACTTTCTGTTAATTTTGGTTAATTTTGGAATGTTTTAAACTAAAAATTTTACAAATTTCTCCTTTAATCAGAGACTTTGTCTTTGACCCCTTTAGATTGTGTAAATCTGCCTCCAGAGTATCTGGTGAGCCTGCATGTCCATGTTGGTCAGTAAAATGGATCAGAATGTGGAACCGGAGCTTTCTATGAGCTACCGTGTTTCCTATCTCCGTGTAAAAGAAGCACAGTGCTATACTCCTCTTCATGTGTTTGCTTGTGTGAAAGAAAATTTGTGGTGCAAACAAGATAAAAATCTATGATTTTTTTATGATACATCAAAAATGTTTACATGTCAAAATACATAGTCATATCTCCAAAAAAAGTAGCTTTACCTGAGAAGGGGAACTTCAAATGTAACAAGATTTTTAAGTAGATTAAGTAATTTTAGATCATTTCTTCTGTCCTGTTCGTGAAAAGTTGTTGACACAGTGTAAACACCAGCATACAGAACCGAAATATGAAACAAAAACACCCGACAAAATGGAGATCATATATTAGCTATGTTTCTATCCACTGTCTGCAAATTTCACACGAACAAAGGAAAATGGCGAAAAGAAAACTTGTGAGTTTCCATCAAACTGACATTTAGCAATAAAAATGCTTTAAATAATGACGTCATATCCTGCAAAAACCTGTTGTTGCAGAGGTTTTGGTGTTTTGAATAAAAAGTTTAATGTGTTTCACTGCAAAAATATCTCAGCAAGTGAAAATATTTTAAATGTATGGAATATATTTAATATTTCCCAATTAAATCTTAATTATAATTTCATCGTATGAAAGAATCTATTGACAGATCATTTTACTTTTTTTCAGAAATAATGAAGAGAACTTATTTCTATGTTCAAGAAATAATGGCCATAGAATTAGACAGCATTGAGAATGAGGAGAAATGTGTACATATACACTGCAAAAAATAAAAATACAACAGTAAAAAAACATCTTCAGTGTAGTTAATATATCTAATATTTCTCATTATGAGACTGTTGTGAGAATATTATAAGATTATTTGACTTATTTCTGCACATTTTTACTTATTTTAAGTAATTTTATCCAGTTAAAGTGCCATTTGATTTGCAGAACACAATTTTGCTTATTTTAAGAAATAATAATATAATAATAAATATTTTCAATAAATAATACCGTTTAAAATGAGATCTGTCACTTATTTCTTGATATTTTAATTAGTTTTAATCATTATTTCTCGAAATAAGTGAAATTATCTACATTATTTCTCAAAACAAGTCAAACGATCTGCCACTTTCACTACATACAGTTACTGAAAACAAGTAAAAATGTATAGAAACAGGTGGAATAATCTTATAATATTCTTACAACAGCCTCATAATGAGAAATATTACATATATTAACTACGTTGAAGATGTTTTATTTGCTGAGATGTAATATTTTGCAGTACAGTGAGTGGATGGGCCTCCTCGCCTCAGCAAAATCAAGCGTGTTGATGAATGTTCTGACAGTGATCTGGCGTCTATCTCGTCCCGTGTATCTCGTCTTGTTTCTGAATGTGCTGAGGGCAGCGTTCTGCGCGGTACGTTGACAGCAGGGTTCTGGAGGTGCTCGCTGTTGTTGTTGCTGCTGTTGTCGTCCTTTTCTGAGCGTCTGAATGCGCCGCTGTGCCATTGTGAGCCTGACTGTTCAGCTGTTTGTATCAGCTCTGCTGATGTTGACATTGTGTGGAGAGGATGACGTGTGTGTGTGTGTGTGTGTGTGTGTGTGTGTGTGTGTGTGTGTGTGTGTCGGGGGCATGTTGGTGATGATGGGGGGGTTGTGCCCCTGAAAGGGAGCCTCCTTTTGGCCACTTAACAGCGAGAGAGACAACATCTCAGGGGAACAGAACATCAGCCCACCCAGCATTTTAAACAGCCCAGTCACTTCAGCCCTGCTCTGAATACTAAACACACCCACCAGCAGACATGATGCCCTCCTAAAAAGATGGTTCTTTAACGGTTCTTTAGTAAAGGCAGTGGTTCTATTTAGAACTGTGAGTCCTATAAAACCATTTTCATGCCTGAATTGTTCTTTGCATGGTGAAACGGTTCTTCAGATTACGTTGTGTACGGTTCTGTATAGAACTATTTTGTATTTTGGTTCCACACAGCACCAAAACGGTTCTACTATTACGATGTCAAGTTTGAAACAATAGAAGAACCCTTTTTGGTGCTATACAGAAACATTTTATGCTTAAATGGTTCTTTGCATGGTAAAATGGTTCTGCTATCGTTACGATGTCAAGCTTGTAAAAAGAGAAGAGCCCTTTTTGGTGCGATATAGAACCATATACAACACGTTCTCCGTCAGTCTGAAGAAGCATTTAAGCATGCAAATAGGTCTTTGAGTATTTATGGTTCTATATAAAACAATTGTTTTTCTTTACTTTTACCTTAAAAAGGTTCCTCAGATTGATGGAGAATGTGTTGAATATGTGGTCATATATAGATGTGTTTTGAAAATGGTTCTATATAGCACCAAAAAAGGGTTCCTCTACTGTTACCATGTCAAGCTTGAAACAAAAGAAAAGCTGTTTTTGATGCCATACAGAAACATTTCATGCTTAAATGGTTCTTTGCATGATGAATTGGTTCTTCAGATTTGTGTTTTGTATGGTTCTATATAGAACTGTTTTGAAAATGGTTCCATATAGCACCAAAAGGGATCTTCTACTGTTATGATGTCAAGCTTGAAACAATAGAAGAGCCCTTTTGGTGCTATACAACACATTCTCCATCAGTCTGAAGAACCATTTCACCATGCAGAGAACCATTTAAGCATGCAAAGTGTTCTTTGATCTTTCAAGATCCTATATAGAACAATTGTCTTTCTTTACTTTTAAGTAAAAATCGTTCCTCAGGTTGATGGAGAATGCATAGTGTATGGTTCTATGTAGTTGTTTTTTGAATAGAGTTCTATATAGCACCAAAAAGTGTTCTGCTATTGTTACAATGTCAAGCTTGAAGCAATAAAAGAACACATTTTGGTGCTATACAGAACGATTTCAGGCTTAGATGGTTCTTTGCATGGTCAAATGGTTCTGCTGTTGTTACAATGTCAAGCTTGTAACAAGAGAAGAGCCCTTTTGGTGCTATACAGCACATTCTCCATCAGCCTGAAGAACCATTTCACCATGCAGAGAACCATCTAAGCATGCAAATGGTTCTTTGAGTGTTCCTGGTAGTGTGTAGAACAATTGTCTTTCTTTTACCTGAAAATGGTTCTTCAGATTGCTGAAGAATGTGTTGAATATATGATTATATATAGATGTGGTGCTATACAGAACCATATAAACACAATCTCCATCAATCTGAAGAGGGATTTCACCTTTCAAAGAACGGTTTAAGCATGCAGAGTGTTCACGGTTCTGTATAAAACCAGTGTATTTACTAAAGAACCCTTGACAAAATCTTTTTAAGGGTGTTTAAAGCAGTCTCGAGTCATTCTTTCTGTGTTTGGAGTCGTGGTCTTGTTGAAATGTCCAGATTGAGTCATTTGGCTGATTAGATTAAATTCTCTTCTGCTCACTCTGTTAAATGTGTTTAGTTTCAACGGGTTTTCTGTACTTTCAGTGAAATTCATCAGATTTATTGCTCATATTAATTGACAGATGCTGCTGATGGAAATTTGGTTGAAAATGTTAGAATGACTGCACTTCTGGCTGATAGAAACAAGTGGAGAAATTATCCTGAAAGTGTCAACACTAAACTTTAATTTATACCACAATTACATTCATTTTATTGTGATTTGACTTATTATTATTGTGAGATGTTGTTGTGCATAAATTTGTGCAAACATTTTCTATCACTGTTGTTTTGCTTTACTATGTAAATTTAAATTTTAATTGCTCACCTGCGTGATTGTATAATTACACAAGGGTTTCTGTTCATTGTTAATTCTATATCAGCAGGACTCTAGTCTACACTTTCACTGTTGTGTTTGCACAAAACTAGACTATACACACGACAGTAACACTGTTATTTATTTATTTATTTTTATTTTTACCCCGATTTTCTCCCCAATTTAGTCGTCTCCAATTCCACCCGCTAGTTAGGACTCCCCCAGTCACACGATGCTATCAACGCTAGGAGGGTGAAGGCTAACACAGGCTTCCTCCGAGACCTGTGAAGCGCCACCGCTTTCTTTTCGAGCTGCCGCTCACGCAACGTCACTGGACGGCTGAACGCGCTCGGAGGAAAGCGCCAACCGCCAGATCTGTTACGTCAGCTAACAGACGCCTGCGCTGACTAGCATCGCGCTGAGTGATGGGGGGAGAAGGAGGGGCCATCCTACCCACCCAGAGAGAGCGAGGCCAATTGT